GGTCGAATAATGTTGTCTTCTAACATTTTCTGGATTTGTTTATTCACTTCTTGTTTATGAATATGTGGATATCTATACGTCTTTGTGTGAACTGGAATTCCATCTTTGATCTTAATTTAATGTTGTACTTGATTTGTGAATGATAATTTATCATTTGGTTAGTGATATACTCTAGGAAACGAATTTATAGGTTTTTGTAAAGCTTTAACTTCTTCTGAGTTTAAATGATCAGTTCTTAAAAGGTTTAATGACGTTTTTTTTTGTATAAGGTTTCTCTTTATGATCATTGTTTTTTTTTTTGGTAATTATCTGTTCTGCGTTGAACAATTGATAATCCTCTTCTTCAAATAGTTCACATATTTCTTGAATATCATCAATATGACAATCTAATGTGAGGATTCTGTCTTTTAAGTTATAGACATCGAGTGGTATTTTACCATTTTTAATTGTATTGATAGTTGATGGAATGTAATAATTTTCTTCTTCTACAAGGTCATTTATCATTTTAGTTCCGTCTGGAAATTCACATCTTTGAACTTTGTTCTACCAGAGGAAAGGTTAATTTCTTCTTCAAATTATTATCGTCTCCGGAAAAATCTTGTTCAACTGGAATTAATTATTAATTGTGAAATATTATATTTTTCCTTAATCTTAATTGTGTATTGAACAGGTGTTTTTTAAAAGGTTTGTTTGAGTGCAAGGTTGCACTGAAATTCCGGACATAGGTGTCGGTTTTGGAAATTGTTGATTTGTATTTTTCTTAAATACATTAGATTGTTCATTAAATTTTTTTCCAAATGTTTGTGAACTAGTCGGGAATTATTGTTGAGAATTTCATACATCTGTCAAATCTGCCTTTCCAACAATAAACTGACATGTTTTGATTGTTGATTGGAACCAATCAGATTGGAATTACTCGATAATTTGCACTATTATCGGATAATTGCATAGTAACTGGTGCGAGAACCGGTGTTTTGACATTATTTAAAATTTTTGTTTTATGAAATTCTCTCATGAAATACAACTCGTGCACTAGAAATGTATCCACAATTTTAGACAAATTTGCACTCATGCGTTTTTAACTGAAAAAGGCACTCGGGCACTATACGTGCACTCAGGCTCTTTTTCAACTAAAAATGCATTCGGACAAATTTCCCAAAAATTATCGATAATTTCCATTGCACTCGTTATATTACTATTGATAATTGGCTCTTGGCTGAATGTTAATATTGTCACGGCTTTGGATTGCCTGACAGAAATCTTGGGTTCGTTTCGTTCATTCCAAAAATCAAAATCCAATCAACACAGCAATAATTTATTCCACGTAACAATACACTCCGACACTAATTACTTTAATAACTAGGTAACTCAACAATTAAACTCTTTACAAAAATAATCACTATTTAAATCGTATCACAGTCGAACTGGAAACTTAAACTACAAAGCAATAGCGGCCTTTTATATATACCTAAATCTATTCCTGTAAAATCTAGAACACCCACGATAATCTTATTTTCTCGATTATAGTAGAATAATTCTCTCGATTCTAGGATATTCGACGATTCTTGACAGCCTGGCGGACGCCGTTCCTCTGGCGGACGCCGTTCTTCTGGCGTCAGCGTTATCGTAACAATATGAGTTGTGAGGGAAATTGTGATCGTTGAAATTGTTTCTGTGGAAACTGTGTTTGCACAAATTGTCTGAGGGAATTTTGTAAACGTTTGTGTTTTTTTTTTTAAATTAATGAATGAACTTTGTCTATTTATATTTTTATTTATTGAATCAATAAATTTCATATGGTTTTCAGCTAATTGATAATTTAATACAAATGCTGTAGCTGCATCTAACGTTTGTGAACCTAATTCAACAGGAGAGTTTGTGACTTGATTTTGGATTGCCATTATCTCATTTTGGGCTACCAAAACATTTGCGACTGCAACTAAATTTTGATCACTCATTATTTTAGAAGTTATTCTATGATTTAAACTTTTTAATTTCTCTAAATAATCAAAAATATTCTCTTTAATATTTCGAGTAGTAGGTATACATTAATTCTTGAACTAAATTTTGTCTAGAATATGGGTCTCCATATTTTAATCTTGAAGCGTTCTTTATATCAAGCCATGTTTTTAGGTCAGTGACATGAGAAAGTTTCCAGCTTCGTTGATTAATTTTAATTTAATTGCTTTATAACATATTCTTTCTGTGCATTTTCGCCAGTATAATATGTAGTATAAAACTCTTCAATATTACTTATGAAATATTATAAATATTGTTTTTCGCCACCAAAAGGCTTAAATAATTGTTCAATAGATTTTAAATTATCACCCATGGTTCTTCTTTGATGATTATTATTTCTTAATGAATTATTATTACTTGGATTATATAAATGAGTTTATCTAAATTGGGTTAAGAGGTTCTGTATTTCCTCATGTATGTTTTAAATAAACATATACATAGATAGAAAAATAAAAAATACTTTTTCAAAAATTTATTTTTTCTACTACCGTGCGTAAAGTACTCACTTAACGCACTATTCAGAAGACGTGAAATTTCACTTCACACACTAGTGCGTGAAGTATTTTTCAAGTTTATTTTTTTTACACATATTTGATTGGTATTAGAAAAAATTTTGTATGCAATACGTGCGTAAAGCACCTTTTTTCACTCATGTGATTGTCGCACTCGCCTTAAATTCACATTTGTGAATAAAGGTTCACTTTACACACTTGTTGCATAAAGAAATATTTCCTTTGAAAATTAAAAACTGAAACTTTAAAAAATTGACAAAATTATTTATAATAGAAAATTAAGAATACTTTTTCAAAAAAATCTATAATTATTATATAAATTTTTTTTTTTGAAAATTAAAAATTAAAAATTCAAAAATTCAAAATTATGAATATAATAAGTATATGGAAATAAATCAGAATTATACCTACTTTTTTTTTAAATTAAAAATTTTAAATTTCAGAGAAATTTAGTATTCAGTCATTAATTGTATTTTTAAAATGAATTATTTATTTAGTCGTCAATTATATTTGTAGAATTAATTATTTAGTTGTCAATTATATTTTTAAAATTATTTATTTAGTGTCAAAGTTTGACTAAATCAATCATTTGAAAATTGAAAAGTAAAAATTTAAAATTAGAAATTTTATTTTTTTTTTCTTTAAAAATTTAAAAATTAAAGCTTTAATAGTTATTTATACACCAAGTGAGTTATGAATAAACATTTTAACTCACGTGATGTATACAAAATTTTATCCCATTTTGTGAAAATTTTAAAAATAAAGTACAAGGAAAAATGCCGTGAGTGAGTTAAAAATATTTTAAATCACTGAGGTTTCCTATTTTTAGTTGGGCAGAGTGACTTAAAATGCCGAGAGTGAGTTAAAATGTTTTTAAATCACTGAGGTGATAAACGTCTACTTACCTTTATTGTTATGCGTACAATAATGTCATTTTTAAACGTCAAAATGGGATAAAATTATTTATTTGCAATCATATATGTAATCTTGTCATTACTGACTTTTTAAAAATTTGGAAATGACACTTTACCTGTGTCACTTCCCTCTTCGATTTCCCTCACCGATTTCCCTATTCGACTTCCCTCACCGATTTCCCTCACTCTAATTTATTTACCTTTGCTGGCAACAATGAGAACATGTCAGGTAAAAACGTCAAAGCAGTGAATGACATATTTTGGTATGTTTGTTTTATTTTTTTAATATTAAAAAAATTGATTGACTAATCATAATTAATTGTGTGCTTGCAAATAAAATAGTATACAAACCTCGGAGGAAAGTTTTCATTTCTGTCTCGAGATTAATAGTCAATCTTGACGCTTCGCGTCTCGATTGACTATATAAATCTCTCGACAGTAATGAAACACTTCCCTACTCGGTATGTAATATACTATTATTCAGTTATTTGAAAATTTTAAAAAATTGAAAAAGTAAAAATTTGAAATTTTATTATTTTCTTTAAAAATTGGAAATTAAAGTTTTAAATTAATTATTCAGTCTCGTAGGTTACTTTCTTAAAATTATTTTATTTGCATTTGGTCTCAATGCCAAAACAAATTGAAATAAAAAAAAAAATTATTGATAAAAAACTCAAAAAAAAAAAAAAATTCAAAAGAACTTAATTATGAAACACCAATTACAAAATACAATTTTTAGGAAAATGGGATTACTTACAAGGCACGATGCTTGAAACTGTATCACTTTAACTCTGTACGTTGGGTCTTGTTGCTTTTTTTCTTCAGTTAATTTTTTAGAAAAAAGTGGAAATAACTGGACTAAACTTTTTTTTCGAAAATTCAATCTCAGGACTTTTTAGCACTCTGAAGAACATAAGCTCTGAACTGCCCAATTATATTTTTCGTTCAGTAAATCTTGTTTTTAAAAACTATTTATTTTATTAAAAACTTAATAGTTACAACAAAAAATATTAGATTTTAAATTGCTGCGGCAAAAAGCCGAGAACAAAAGAATTTTTGATTCTAATCGCTATAGTCTAGGCTACAAAATAAGAGAATGCGAGAGAAGCCTCTGCGCGCCGTATTTATATTAGAATACTCCTGATGCTTGCAATAGTGCGGGTGAAACCTTGATATGACGGTACTTTTTCAGGCAGTTCCGCTTACTCAGCATCTTTATAATATCGTTGGCTTTTACAGTGGCGTAGGCTTATGTTTAACATTGAAAAGGGGAATTATTTGTATAATAATAACATAGGGTTTTATAATATAACTTGCTGTTATAAAAGAGTTGTTATTAAAATTTGCATAACAAAACATCAGAGTCATCAGACACAAAGAAGAGGGAAGGAGGAATAAACACATAAAACCAGACCATATGAAAATAAAATACGTAAAGGATGAACCCAAATGAAGTGGGCAGAACTTGGAGAAACAAGATGGTCCTACCGAATCTATGTAGACAATAGACATAGATTTACTTCACAAAATATAGTTTCATTTATTTTGTACTTACGAGGCCAAGATGGAAGTCGTACTAGTGGGTTGATAATCGGTAATTTGCGTTTTTTCGTCTGCTCCTTTTCCTTTTTCTCCCCATCGTGGTAGAACTTTGCAGTTGCGGCAGCAGTGGCGGATAATATAGCAGCTTCCTGCGGGTTCAACATGCTGCAGCAAGAAATTCTTCGGGTAGCTGCTGGCGAACGATTCGCCGAATGGTCGTGATCCACCTGAGAAGTGATGTGTTACTTCGATAACTTTATGAATCTATACGATTATTTGCATGGTATGTAGTTACAAATAACATAAATTATGAACTTCTTTGAGTAATACTTAGAATGCGAACATTTAAAAACAATACCAATATTTCTGTTGAAGGTGCTATTGAACAATTATTTTTTAAGACATCTACAAAATTTTGAAAATAAAACAATATTCAATTATATTTATATAGTTTATGTGCATATCTAGCTAAGTAAGAACATTCAAGAGATTAAAGCACTGAATATCCACCAAAAAAATATTGAATTTTTTCAAAGAAGTGATATTTACATACCTTTATCCTATTAGACTGTGAGATAGGGGCTGTTTAGTGGAGTCATTTTTTTTTGTCTGGCATTTTGAGGGATGAATGTGGCTACTGATGAGAATATGGGTGATTTTAATGCCTGCCTCCCGTTCGGAAATTTACAGAAGAAAAAAATTGATTTACATGAAGAATTTTTTTTTAATGATCTCAATTTTTTTGGCTTCTAAATAAAAGATTGACATTGATAAATAATTCACCCATAAAAAATACCAGATGCTTTTCAATGGGTGAAAAAGTGGGGATGAGTGTCAACTTCCAAGAGAAAAGAAAAGAACCTTGCGCGTTTACTTTTTGTCTGGTAATCGAGAGAATGGAAGGTTTTGTTGTGAAAATAACGCTGAAAAATCGCCAGACGGTAATCACAGTTCGAAGTCGAGTTTTCTGGCGAAACATTCTGTGGACATTTCGAACAGGAGGCAGGCATTAAAACCACCTATATTCTCATCAACTAGCCACATTCATCCCTCAAAATGCCAGACAAAAAAAAATGACTCCGCTAAACAGGCCCTATCTCAGGGTCTATATGAGAAAAGTGCAAATCTCTAAAACTACAATATAATAGATACGGTGCAAAACGAACACGAAGCGGTAAGCTCTCCATAAGGTAGAAATAAGGTACTAACCGTCAGCAAGTTGGTAGTAGAACTGTCGCTGCACTGGTCGCTTATATACAATTTGTCAGCTTTGGAACACAGGATGTCGAGGTCTTCATCAGCACTGTCTATCTCTATGTGGATAGTTTCCATTCTTTCTGATCGTGCTTGTTCTGTCAAAATTGGAGAGGGAGGCTCTACAATCACGCTCACCGGGGGAAACTTGCACTGGAAAAGGAGGTCTAGGTTTTATGGACAGAGATCCAAGGTGGATAGATACTTTGTGATGCTGGATTTGATTCAACTTATAAGCATGTAGTAGTCGTTTGCTCCAATATTGATGCCATTTATACATAAATACTTGCTATAACGGTGTCAATCTATGGTATTGACTACTTTAATGCATGACATCTAGGTATTTTATCTACAAAGATACATTTTGCATGCATCTAGGAATTCCAACATTCACACCTAATAAATACATCTTTGAACTATTTGTTAGTCGCATTAGACGATATTGCAAATCCAGTTTTTTGGATAAAAATGCAGCCAAATGCAAATATTTATTGTTGATGTTCGCCCTAACTGAATAAAAACTTGGTTGGATAACACAATTGATTGCGATCTATTTATTTCAATTTTTGTTTTTTTCTTTTTTTTTGGTTGGTATTCGAACACCGTCGCCCAACCATGCGTTAAGTAAGTACCTATTTACTTAATCTTTGGCAAACTACTCATGTCTCATGAAATTATTTATTATCTCACGTCGAAGATTTAAAAGAGAACCTAATTCACGCCGGTTCAAGACCGGATATCAGGCATACCAAGGTATAAACAACCGAGCGGCGGGTCTACGATGGTAGGTACCTACTTAAAAATAAGTCTGGGAATACTGATTGAGCGAGTGGGCTCTTGCAGATTCTGGGTATAATGATAAGAAGATACTCGGGATAGTAGTCAGCTTAGCAGTGTAGTCACCACTGCTTTCACCTCACAGTCGAATCAGTACTGAGTCTTATTTAAGGCTAATAATCTAGACCTGGACCACGGATTAGGATCTTGACTTAGTACCTACTCTAAAACAATAAAGGTTCTCACCTCTCTTCGAGGAAAACTCGCAAATTAAAAGCTCAAGGAAAATCCCAATGATTTCAGAAATATCTGGAGAAACCAATAGAACAATGAAAACCAAGAATAAATTATGTGACAAATTAAAGCGTTTTAACCACTCAAATATATATAGAAATTTTCTTGATGAAAATATATTTCGAGAAACCGGAATGATTCTTTAATCGGATTTGTTCTTCAATTATTAAAGAGTGATCAACCTAAATTGACGAAGTCAATAAAGCTACATAATTAATTTCACGATACTGGGAATTTCGTTCTTGGGTTATTTGATTAGGCACAGGGACGTGCGGCCTCTTCAAATTGCTTGAGCCAAAAGAGACGAGAACCAAACAGGAAGCGAATGTAATTGCGTTTGCAATCCACAATTCACCTGTGATCTTGCAACAAATAAAACGTAATGCTTTCCAAGACACGAGAGAGATAAATTAATAAAATAGCAGGGTAGGTACTCAAAAATAAATCTGGAAATACCGGACTATAAAGATAAGCAGTTGCACTAGTTGCAGGTTAGTAGTTAGCTAAGTGATAAGCAGAAATGTACATTTCACCTAAACCTTGCGAATACGTCTGCGTTTGAACCTGAGCATACACAGATCTTACGGGTGAATATTCATTATATTATATCACAAGATATTTAAATTTAATCGATTAAACTATCCAACATATTTTGAGCATGATTTTGCTTGGAAAAAAGTTATTGTGCATGGTATGGCACAGTACTCTATTTTTCTATTTAGCAGGGATGATGCCTTTCGTCCTTGCATATTCCGATCTTTAATTAATTCGTCCAAGATTCTCTGTTTCTATCTTTGTACAGGGTGGTCCAAATTGAACACTTTCTTATGGAAACACCCTTTATTTTTAGAGATAAAAAAAAATTGAGCCAGGTCTCTGGAGCTCATTTAATGGGAAAATTAACGGCGAAAACAAAATTCTGCTATCTCTAATTGTTTGGCTGGTAGAGGGCGTTTCCCGAATTTTGCCGATTTTTTCAATACCTGTAACATGTAATAGTATAATTACATACCGAGGTGGGAAGTGTTTCATTACTGTCGAGAGATTATATAGTTAACTGAGACGCGAAACGTCGAAGTTAACTATGATCTCGAGACAGGAATAAAACTTCCTACCGAGGAATGGAAATAATATTCAGCTTTCTTGGACTTATTTATTAAATTTAAAAATCAAATAGCCAACGTTTCGATGCTGGTTAGCATCATCATCAGGGCTGCAAAAAACGAAACAATACAAGTTTAACAAGAAAAAAGGGACATTGACATCAAAAACAAAAAATTAAAAAATTAAAAAAAAAAAATTGAAAAAATTGTTGTTTAACTAATTAGGGCTATGTGACGCAAAAGGCGATTTTATGACATACAACACATTAAAACAAGCTAAAAATGATCACATCATCATACAAAAATTAATTAAAATCACTAAAAGATATCACAAAGACACAATCATTATCCTAAAAACGTTAACACTTAAAATAATATCCTTAATTAAAGCTCAAAAAGACTCACCCAGATTATTCTAATTGAAAATCAAACACATTGTATAACTGCATACGTTAAAAATGTTTGTATTATTATGGACTACCATCATTGCCGCAAAAATCTAAGGTACTGATTTGATGTTAATTTTCTAGGTGTGGTATGAAGAGACTTTTTCTTGAAATGTGTCATATCCATAACAACAGGCCGAATGTAAATTTAAATAGAGACACACAGAATCTCAATATTATTTATAATAATATAATAAGTAATTGTTCAAAAAACACATAATAAACATAGGTATACCTACACTACCAAAAAAATTCATACCACACCTAGAAAATTAACATCAAATCAGTACCTTAGATTTTTGCGGCAATGATGGTAGTCCATAATAATACAAACATTTTTAACGTATGCAGTTATACTATGTGTTTGATTTTCAATTAGAATAATCTGGGTGAGTCTTTTTGAGCTTTAATTAAGGATATTATTTTAAGTGTTAACGTTTTTAGGATAATGATTGTGTCTTTGTGATATCTTTTAGTGATTTTAATTAATTTTTGTATGATGATGTGATCATTTTTAGCTTGTTTTAATGTGTTGTATGTCAAAAAATCGCCTTTTGCGTCACATAGCCCTAATTAGTTAAACAACAATTTTTTTAATATTTTTTTTTAATTTTTTAATTTTTTGTTTTTGATGTCAATGTCCCTTTTTTCTTGTTAAACTTGTATTGTTTCGTTTTTTGCAGCCCTGATGATGATGCTAAGCAGCATCGAAACGTTGGCTATTTGATTTTTAAATTTAATAAATAAGTCCAAGAAAGCTGAATATTATTTCCATTCCTCATAACCATATTCGTGGACGTGATACTTTTCCGACTGTAGCTTCCTACCGAGGTTTGTATACTATTTTATTTACAACACGTATAACCATCACAATTTTTGACTGAATACTAAATAAAAATTTCGAAATTTTGTTGACAAGTTCTGACTTATGTAAAAAAACGTTTGGCGTGCAGGACTTATCTTTAACATTTTAGGAAATGAGGGCTTACTTTCTACCCGGGTGGAAGTGAGCACTTTCCACCGGGGACCACTTTCCACCCGGGAGGAAAGTAAAATTCAAAAAAGTGTCACTTTCAAACTTTTCAAAAGTCAGAAATGTCAACATTACGTAGGTGGATGAGTAAAGTCACTTGCCCCTTTTTTGTTCAAATTTAATTTTATCTACAAGCGTTTGGTTATGACGTTTTTACATAACCATTTTTCTAGTATTTGAGTTACGTCATGAGACTCATAACACAACTAGTGGTGTTATAGACTAGGTTATGAATTCATAACACAACTAGTGGTGTTATGTACGAGGTTATGAGTCTATAACACAACTATTTTTGGTGATTTGACAAATGTCAAAGGTAA